CTTGGACTGTTGATGTTGCCATTGACAAACAATTTGGCCGATGCAAACGGGACAAAGCATTGAACGCGATTTAAGGCAATATTGCCAGCTAGCAGAAGGAGGGGGAGGGGGGAGGAGTGAGGCGGGCGGAGGGAGGTGGCATGCGGCATGCGGCATGCGGCATGCGGCAGATGGCAAATGGCAGCTGTGTGGCTGCAGGTGGTTGGCACGTGTTGAACTTGGTTTATACAAGTTCGGACTGGTTTTTAATTTATTTAAAAGGACACGTAAGCGACTCTGCGGCATTTCGCAATTACTCAACGCCCAGTTAAATGTCACTTCACGCATTTAATGTGGCCTAATAGCTGTTCAGCTGCCCGGACGAATATCACTCGGATGACGTCATTTAATTGCATATCCTTCATTTACTTACCCTTCTGCTTTATTCTGTTTTTTTGGCTGTCATAAAGTGTCGCAATTTTTATGTGTAAATTTCTAAGCTCATTTGCATTCGCGATAAAACAGAAGAACTATTTGAGTGTTATGCCATTCGGTCAGGCAACACACCTGGCGCTATCTATCATACATCATACTACTACACATTCAGCTCCATCTCCATTTATCATTGGGCTGGTCAGTCCGACAGTAATTCCTGCGGTTCGGGCATTTCCTTATGACAGCGACACGCAACAGTTTTCCTGCTCCTCCTGCTCCTTCTGCCTCCTGCCAGACTCGCAGAGGTCTGTGTCAATGACAGCCAACTGTCAAATGAGTGTCGAACGTGCCTTTGGCCCGGGGTATTATGACCTGACATTTACGTGTAACTAGTTCAATAGACAAATGGGGCATGTCAACAGGTAAGAGCTAGGCAGGAGTCGGAGCAGTAGCCGTATTTCTGGATATCTTTCACATCTATAAATATTAGAATTAGTCATAGTGAAGAGGCGTAAATAGTAAACATTCGTGGCATGCATAAGGAATATTTTGATGAATAATTTCCAATGAAATTCTTAATAATAAGAATTATAAAGCGGGCTATATGCAACAGCTGTTAAGCATTTTACGCTTTACATAGATTTCCACTGTTAGTTAGCTAATTTGTGTGGCATATTATGTTAATTGGTTACGCCATTCTGTTGCTAACAGAGTTTTAACCTTTAAATGTAAATGAGCTGCAAATATTATGCATATAATGTGAAAGATCTGGTGAAATGGAAAGTCAATGAAAGAATTATGTGAAAAGAGGGAGAGACAGAGAGGAAAGTGGATCATACGAAACCAGTTTATATTGAAAGCAAATGCAAATGAGACCAACACAGGTGAAAATCACTAATTAGTGATTTGATAAGTTAAAAGTGCAGAAAGGTCAGAGAAGAGCGAACACACAAGATAAAAGTTAGAGAATATAAATAAATTAAAAGTGAAGAGGGAAAATAGATGAGGGAATAAAGAGCAAACAGAAGAGATAGGAGTTAGGATATAGGAGATAGGAGATATGAGATATATGGGATAAGTGATGGAACAAAGAAAAGAAGAGAGAAGAGAAGCGAAGAGAATTCCAGGTTTCACTGCTATTTTCGAGAGATGACTGCACCAGCATATTGCTAATATCATAAAAAGGTTTTCAGCACTTATCAAAGTCAAACATTTCGTTGCTAATTGCCCCACTGAGACGTTAAATTTCACAGCGACTCTTCCCAGGGTTGCACAGAATGCTTAAGCGTATACTTGATGTGCATAGAGTGCACAGAGAATGCACATCGGGCATGCGAGGGGGTGCGGGGAGACACCAGCAAATGCTGCTTGGCTTGGCTTCTCTTGGCATTTGCCTAAATAAATGTTAATGTTGATTGCTTGTGCTATAACAATAATATCATTGCAATTTATTGCATGCCACCACATGGGACAACACACAAGAGACAAGGAAGACGGGAGAAGGGAGAAGGGAGGGGCATGAGACACGACACAAGCGACATGAGACGAAGACAAAGTTTGCCAATGAAATGTTCAATTCAATATGTGTGCCAAGTAAACGAAACGAGAGACAACGCAAAACAGAGGCAACAATGACTAAATACAGATTAGAGTAAGACGACTATGAAGATACCCTGTAGAAGTTTTTGTTTTAATATTGATAAGATTTATATTCGAATGATAGCTGTAATTGAAATACGTCCAAATTTATTTTAGAACTGCAGCTCATACCACCCTTTTGCTGCTTACAGGGTATATGCTAGTCACGTCTTAGCAGCGAAAACGCAACCAAAACAAACATTGTAACTCAGAATTCCAATTGAAATAGCAACAGGCCAGAAGTCAGCCTCCAAATATAAGTGATAGGCCCCATCTGCCAGCTGCCAAAACAAAAGCAATTCAAAATATATATGTATGTATATATACATATATACCTATAAATAGATTCTATATCTATCTGTATATGTATATGTATTTGCTTTGCATTGCCAATGGCAACACAAATAGCACGCATCAAATTTGACATTTGAAATGCATAGAACAGAGGCGTGCATGGAGAAGGGGCAGGGCTTACCCGCCCATCTAACCCTCCCAGCTCCCTTTATTATGCTTCGACAATTTAACTTCCAATCTGCAGCTCAATGTCTATATCAACATCTGCCCGTTAGCTTTGATGGCGCAACCAAACGCTGCGCTCTCTCCCCCACACAGCCACGCCCCTTCCATGCGAAATGTCCCACATTCACACGTTCCCCAGTCCTCAGTCAGCTGCGATGATGCCATAAACCGGCTGAGCACTCATTCATCTAATTTAGCACTAATTTTGCTGTTAACAATATGACATAATAAGTTAGCCCAGTTCGAATGCCAAAAATTAGTTACTTGTATATATAATTATACATTTATTATACATTTTTTTTATTTGTATAAAAATCATCAAATTTGTCAACAATCAACAGGTGTCTACATATTTATGCCTCGTTTTCTTTAAACATTCTTTAGCTTCATCAATTCGTTTTATTTCCAAATTTTTCCATACTCTTTTCTGCTACTTTTCTTGCCCCCAACGTCTACTCCGCTTGTGTTTTTGATTGCTTTATCATTGTGCAATGCCCATATGTTTAAGTACTTCTATCTGTCTGGCTGTGTGTCTGTGTCTGTGTCAGAGTCTGTGTCTCTGTGTTAAGTAAGCATGTCGCACCCTTGCTCACATTATTCTGCCATTACACATCTGCTTTGGCAGCCACTACTTTTATTCTCCACGGGTCTACTACTTTTTTTTCGATAGCCTACTTTTTGCGTCTGGCAAATGTCTGTGTTCGCTTAAATGTTGCCAACAATTATGCCGGTCTCTCTCTCTCTCTCTTCTTCAGTCACTCTCTCAGTCCATTTTCTTGTGTGCGCTCTTATTAGCTCATATTATGTTAATGTACGTTGGCGTAGGCGTCGACGTCGACGTGTCGAGAGAGGCAGCGGCAGCGCTAGTACCAGCTGTTCATACATTTGGCATATAAATTGGCGCGCACACATACACACGCACACGCAAGCTTTAATTGTATTCGTTTTCTTGCATTCTTTGTTCTCTTTTCTAAGCGTAAATTATGAAAAAATTGAAATATTTTCATATGCTTAATTAAATATGCGCAATTATACCGGTCTCGATGTCACTCTCACTCTTTCTCTCCCGCTCTCAACCTACATGAGTGTGTGTGCATTGTGCATGTGCGCTTTTGCTCTCTCATTAGCTCATATTATCTTAATGTGTTTGAATGGCAAGCGCCGGCGACCGGCGTTGACGCTGGCAGAGGCAGCAGCTTTGGCTCTGTAGGCATTTGGCATGCAAACAGCGCACTGACACACGCACACACACACTCAAGCATTTGAGCAGCTTTTGTTTTATTTGTTCCTTTTGTTTTCTTTGTTATTTTTCTCAATATGAAAGATTTAAATATTTCGCACATGCTTAATTAATTCTGATAAGTGCCAGGCTTAGCCTTTTTTGTGGGCATTGCCTAAAAATTGAAGAATGTTGAAGTATGTGCATACATATATTCATTGAAAGCTTGATTGTTTCGCTGAATATCAGAAAAAATATTTATAATAAAATTTCATTAATTTTGTAAACAATCTTTTATTAATTTTTTAATTATTTCACCTACATTTCTTGATGGAAACTTAAGTTATGGTGTTGAAAAATGTTGTGTTTATATTAGACATGTTTATACTTATAATAGTCACTATTCTCTGCATGAACAGCTTAATTTTGTTCAATTTTCTTTTACTGAAATTCACTCTCTGGATGCGCTACTAATGTGTGTTCGATTTAGCTAAACGTTATCGCAAGGTGCATGCATATAAATGCCACATAATGTGGCACGTTGAATGTCAATTACATGTGGCAGGCAGGCAGGCGACAGGTTTGGCGGATCCTTTTTAGAAGGAGCCAAACCCGCGCATAAAAGCCAGAGCGGAAAAGTTAAATTGAAACTAACCCAACCCAAGTTGGGATGGCGTGCGCTGTGTGGCAGTGACTACTGTCACAGCCACGCCCACAAGAGCAGACGACACTCAGTGTGTGTGTGGGCATAGGTGTATGTGTATGTGTGTGTGTGTGTCCTGCTTATCGCGACGGACGCGCCCAAAACTGTGCGACAGCCAAAAACAGTTTTGTTTGTTGCTTTTTAGTTGTAATTAAAACCAAGTTAATGTTTATAAGTCAAGAGATTAAAAAGTTGCTGGCAAACTACTTAAAGCTTTAAGAGTGTGGGCAAGAGGCGGCTGGCAGGAGGCAGCAGGCAACAGGCAGCAGGCAGGAGTATTAGTGGAAGGAAGCTTGACAAGCGCAACAGGGCGCAGTCACTTGCTTGGCTGCACTTGGGCCAAAACGCTTCCTCTTGCCAAATGCCATTAGGCGTAACGTGCTCTGACAGCTCCAGTTGCGTGGCACGCCCCCTGCCACCCGCCCGTCTGTCGCTTATCTAATATAATTTCTAATTTATTTCCTCTATTCTCCTTTGGTTCCCCCTTTTTGTCTTTTGCATTTCCAGCTGCGCTGCGCTGCGTCCTCACACAGCGGTGGCCCATAGAAATAGCAATTGCTGTTGCGCCTGCAAGTTTTATGAATGAGTCAAGGGACGGGGCACAGCCGCACAGCCGTGAACAGCAACAGCAGCTGAAGTAGGAGGAGGAGGAGGAGGAGCAGGAGGAGCGAGAGCAGCAGCACTCATCCAAGCTTAACCACATTGCATCCACACTTGCTACAAAATGGCCTTCAGCTACGCTTGTCTGGTGCTGCAGCGAGTGGTCGTGCCGGCTGTCCTGGTATTGGGTAAGTGTCCTCAACCACTGTCAACCACTACATACATATATAAGTATATGTATATGTAAATGTATACATATAAGCATTTGTGTATTTAGCTTTTCAAAACGTATTTTCTGTTAGAAGATCCTCTTATCTATGCTACTCTTCCGAGTAATTTTATGTGCCTGTTCCTTCTAAGATTAGTTCTGATATCTGATATAGAAGTCGTTTGAAACAGATACAGATACATATACAGATACAGATACAGATACAGATACAAATACAGATACATATACATATACATATACATATACATATACATATACATATACATATACATATACATATACATACAGATACAGATACAGATACAGATACAGATACAGATACAGATACAGATACAGATACAGATACAGATACAGATACAGATACAGATACAGATACAGATACAGATACAGATACAGATACAGATACAGATACAGATACAGATACAGATACAGATACAGATACAGATACAGATACAGATACAGATGCAGATACAAATACAGATTCAGAGACAGAGACAAATACAAATACAAATACAAATACAGATACAGATACAGATACAGATACAGATTGTTTACTTCTGAAACTTGCAGTAGAAATCGTACACATTTCAATCAAGTTTAGATGAATTAAGTTCAAGCATATTCAAACTTTGATATTGAGTGCGCCTGAGAGTAAAACTTGTAGGAAGTTTATGTGTAGTTAAAAGAGTATTAAAAGTCCGACAAGTCCTAAGACTTGAAACTTGAACTCTCTGACTCTGCTGTGCTTTCCATTTGCAGCATCGCTGATGCGACCAGTGGGCATCTCGTTCGTGTACCTGTTAATGTTCTTCATCTCGCCCTTCATACCGCTGGCGACGCGGCGCAACTTTAAGGGCTCTGTGACGGCGTTCTTTATTATCCTGCTCTCCTTGAGCGCCTTCGTGCTGCTGGGTCATATTGCGCTTCAGGTGGCTGCCGTCAGCGTCTCGCTGCCCATCTACAACTGCTCGTTCAGCCAGCGACTGCTGCGGCACATTGGCTTCATGAGCTTCGTGGACTTGAGGTGAGTTTGAGTGTTTGCATACTCCATATAAATCAGATATATAATTTACACCTTTCTCTTTTCTGCTCCAGACCCATGGCCATAATTGAATGGCTGGCACCCGAGGTCCTGGTGTTTGCCACGGCCTTGGCCTGTTTCCTCAGCGTCAAGCGCCTGGCCAACCAAACCTTCAGCGCCGAGCAGCTGGAGAATGGCGAGCTGCCTGAAGCCCAGTCGGAGCCGTCCGTCGCTGGCCACGATTCTAATGGCACCGATGTGCAACAGGCAACGGCCACAACGCCGCTGCAACAAAGCCAGCAGCAGCTGCGCAAACGCGTCTCCATGATCAGCCAGCACATACACTTCGAGGGCTTGATAAAGATATGTAAGTAGCGCTGTTAAGTGTGACTGAAATGTTAGGTACAGTAAGCTCTGTTATGCATAGCAATCAGGCGAGACTGTTAGAAAGTCACGCACTGTTAAACATTGCCTCTGTTAAGTGCGAGCACAACATCAACAAAATAATTCAGGCTATGCAGTTGGATAAAATGTTAAAGTTAACTAAGACTATGCGTTATGTAAATACTAACAGATAACTTGGAACTGTTACTGAAATATACAGCACTGTTAAGCTGCCGCTGACTAAGCTTTAAAGTAGTAATATTTACAGAATGCTAATATGACGTTGATTAGGTTTGCTGTTGCTATGTTAGTAACATATTCAATTTTTCATGGCTTTAAATTTGTAGACCTTGATTCGAATCAAGAGATATATTATTATTCTATATTCTAGCTAATAGGGATAAGATTTCCTTTGAATTCTATTGTTGGGTAGTAAATAATCAAAGCATAGACATACGTTTAGCAGCAAATGTTATTCTTGTGTTTGTTCAGTTAAGTTTTTTCTTCACCTATTTACAGAAGGCCATTAATATATACTCACTCCTTGTATCTGTTTCTTCTTCTTCCTTTACAGCACCTCTGTTCTGTTTGGCCACATTGTTCTTTGCGGCCGCACTGCGTCCATCGGTGCCAGGTGGATTTTATTTTCTAATATTTTTGCTGTCGGGCACTTATTGGGCAACCTGCCAGACGCTGCAACGGTGCGTGTTGTTACCCCCCTTCCCACTCTTCCTCCCTATCTCTCTCTCTCTCTCCGTCTCTCGATGCAATCAAATCAATTTGGTTGTCTTTCGTGCCTTCATCTAACACTTTTTGTTGTTACCTTCCTTTGTTTGTGGTTTCAGTGGCTTTGCTTTGTTGCTGCGCTGCGTCATGGTCGTCCTTGTGCTGCATTCGCTGTGCCTTGTCTCCTATCAAACGCCCTGGATGCAAAGTCATCTCAATCACACGAGCCTCACAGCACGGTAAGACAATGGACAAACAGAGCTCCTGCCGTTGCTCCAATGAATCTGCTTCGTTTCCAATTTCAACTTTCAGTCTGATTGGTCTGGAGCCGCTCATCGAGTCGTATTGCTCGCCAGATATACGCGTTCTGCTCTACAATAACACTTTGACCTTGGACTCGTATCTGAATCCGTTCGCCTTGTTCTTCGCCTACTTTGCCCTGGCGCTGACCACAAAACATCTCATCAAGCCGAGGGTAAGTGCTCTAAATTCGGTTAAGATTGGCCAAACTATAATAATATTTTCTTTTTTGGAATACCCTTGCATAGGACTTTTAGTTTACTGCCATAGAATTATGTGATCTATTCAAATAAGTTTCTGTAATCCTGAGTAGTTGAACAATTCCGAAATTTTATAAAACTATAAGTCCGTCCGTCTCTCTCAGTTTCAAAGTCCTTAATCTATGATATCTTGCTTGCTGCTTAACATATACATATACGTATATGTGGGCTGTTACCTTAACCTCCTGCTACCTGCTACCTAGCAGTTCTATCATAATATTCTCGGATCTCTTCTAAATATAATATACAGCTGAATGCTTAGTATATTCTCTTAAAATTGGTGCATTTAGAAAGTGCTTACAAATAACTTTATTTTTCCAACTGTCTGCTAGGGTATTCCAGCTTCGGTGCCTCGAAGATAACTTGCTCTATCTATTACTTACCATAATATATATATATATATATTTCTTAAGATTTTTATACTTATTTTTCAAACTAACAACTTACAAAGAACTTTTTGGGTCATTCTCTTCACTCTTTGCTCTTCTTCTTCTTCTACTACTACAATTATTACTACTTTTTCTGCTGCCTGCCTGCATTGGATGAATATCTCAATACGCTAACACAACATATAAAATATATAATTCAAACTTTAATGCACACATACAACAACAACAACAATAATTGACTGCTCACTAACCAAATAACAACTACAACAACAACAACAACAACTGTCGCTCCGCCTTGTCGCTTTGCTTTGCTGCTGTCACCTGCCAACCTGCCACCTGGCATGTGCCACGCCCCAGCTGGAGCCAAAGCCCGCCACCGCCTTTGGGCAGCAGCTCGAGTGCAACAGCAGCACCAGCGGCAGCAACAACACCAACAACAAAATCAATCGCCAGCTATCGCTGCTCGCAACGCAAGCAACACGCGGCGGCAGGGAGAGTAGTGGAGGGGGTGGTGGAGGAGGCGGAGGCGCCACAACAAGCCGCACACAACGCCTGAGTGTAAGCGTATGCTGGTGTGTGTATCGGTGTGTGTGTGAGTGTGTGGGTGCATTTGCCAAAGCCCATAGAGTTAACGGACGTTGACTGCGTGGCAGCCACTGTCAAATGCTGCAGCACTGACTATATATAGAGTCTATATAGTATCTATCTTATATAGAAATAGAGTCCAATCAATTCAGATGAAAGCAGACAGCTCTACGTATGTGTGTCTGTGTGTGTGGGTGTGTGTGTGTGGGTGTGTCTAACTAAAATGCTATCTATTGTAACAGTTTGCAACTAACGACAAACTTTTTTTTGTTGAGCCAACTAAGCGGGAACTGTCAAAGACTTCTTTTCCCTTTGAACTAAAATAAGACATTTAAATCTAAAACAAAGTGAATCAAAACTCCAAGCTTAAAACTTTAAATTTGCTTTTAAGTTGATTAAAAATTATTTTTTGTTGTTATCATTTTAAGCATTAAATCTACTAAGACAATAAAATAAACTAATTTTTATGTAAATAAAATCAAAATAAATTTGTTAAAAACTTTAGCTAGAGATTATTAAATGGAAACAATTTTCAGTAATTTATTTCCAAAAGTTGTATATAATTTTTATTTATTTTTTTTTTTTTTAATTTGACTTATCTAATTTTAAAAAAATCATAAAAAAAATAATCATTTAACATAAGTTTTATTTCATAAATTTTATTTTATGCAAACTGAAATTATTTAGATTAAATAATTTTTTATTGTTAGAAAAATAAAAGAATTTTTTTTTTCGAATTCATATAATAATACATAATTAATTTTAAAGCATTTATATAAATAAAAGCAAAAAATATATATGATATATAAAGAATTAAAATAGCTCAGGGACGTTACAAGTGTTGCACAGTTCTGAAATTATAGCTGACTTTATATATTAGAGAATAACTCAAGATCTAAAATGTATAAACACAACTAAGGCATACATAAAATGTGACCCATGTATATGACTATAACTAATATTCTTAATACTAATGGAGGTATTGTGACTGTTAATACTAATATCTTAAGCCCTAAGCTAAGCTTGCGCGATTTTCTGCGTATTTTTTGTTTATTTTGAGAGATTTTTTTTTCTCGTGCTATTATTCCTTTCTTTTGGCTATACTCTTTCTTTTCTTTTCTTTTGTTTGTTGATTTTTGTTTACGCTCTCTATTTTATTACTTCTTCTGCTTTAGGTGTCTTTGCGCCGTGAACAGCGTGCTACGTTAAATGAACCGACTGAGACGACGCCTGTACGTAAACTAACTTCACTTTTCGCCACTAAGCCAAACCCAATTTCGTACCCCGCCACCCGTACATCCAGAAACTAACCTCTAGCCCTAGCTAACTCTGTAAACAGCTCGAATCTACATATAACTCTAGCTTCTATATCTATCTATCTATTCTGTGTATTGACTAACTTGCTCTACATTGTTGTTTTGTTTGTGTTAAATGTATTCGTCTAGTATTGTCCAGTTATTCAGTTGTATACATATATACCGATCTATGTATATCTATCATAAATCATAGCTCTAGCTAACATATACAATTGTAAGTGAGTGTGCGCGTGTGTGTGTGCGTGTGCTTTGGGTTTGTTTTGTACATAGCTCTTAAAATTCTCATCTAGTTCTAGTTTGGTTAGCATTAACATCCACTAAGCCTACGATCCACTAGCTGAACCCAATACTCTTCTTTGTATATATGTTAATCTCAAGTATTTCAATAAAATTCCCCGTTGAACTCATATATCATCTGTATATATCTTTAGCTGGTTCGTCAGAGCACGCGCAAGTCACGCGCTACCCAGGCCGTGGATGCGAGTGGTGCAGCTGCAACAGCCTCGACTGCAACACGTGGCAACGACATACAGTTGGATCAGCTGGAGCGTCGCTCGGATCACGAGAATACCAATACCTCGATACTCGATCAGATTTCCTACGGTTTCGTCAGCGTGGGCGGCTTTATCTATCAGAACAGCTATATATTCACAAATATACTGATGATGGTAAGTCTAGAAAACTCTCTGAGATACTCCCTTACTCATATATCTCGTTCTCTCTCTCTCTCTCTCTGTCTCTCTTCTAGGCCTGGTCCATTGTCTACCACAGCTGGCTGACCTTCGTGCTGCTGCTCTGGGCGAATGTGCTCTGGATGATACCGAATCAGCGCAAAGCCATGATGCGCTCGAGTCCTTTCATAGTGCTCTATGCGGAGCTGCTGCTGGTCGCCCAGTATATCTATGGCATGGATCTGAACAACAATGAGCTACCTACCAAGGTCTCAGTAAGTTCCCCACCCCTAACAATCCCATCTCTTCACATCATTTAACTGAATCGTGTCGTCTCTCTCTCTCTCTCTCTTTATCCGGTTCCAGACGGCGGGCATTAATCTGCAGCAAATCGGCTTCGAGCGACCCATTGAGAATCACATGCGCCCCTGCGTGCCGCTGATTGTCAAAACTGCCTTCGTGCTCATGTTCTGGGTGACGTCGCGCCAGTTCTTCAAGGAGAAGCGGGACAGGAGGCGTGACAGCACCTTGGCTGATATCATAGCGCCGCTGCAAATAACTGTCGGCTCGGCGGGCTCCACCTACCTCATCAACGATGGCAAGAAGACGTCAAAGTTCCTAAAGAAAGCCGGCGATGTGATTAAGAATTTACTAGTCCGTCTCTGGATCTGGCTGCTCGTCCTAGTCATCTTTCTGTGCGCCATCACGGGCGAGGATATGACCGGCTTTCGCATCTGCTACATGGCACTGTTCCTATTCTTCTTGCTCGTCTTTCAATCGTCGTCCAAGGCATGGGTCAAGATCATGTACGGCTTCTGGCTGTTCCTCATCTTCTATGCCATGTCCATCCTGATATTGATCTATACATATCAATTCGACAAGTTCAACATCTACTGGAAGGAGTACCTCAATGTGTCCGAAACGCTGTGAGTAGTTGAAGCTGACTTTGATTCTCTAATGCATCAATAACTCTGTGTGTCTGTCTCTTGCAGCCAAGCTGATATTGGCTTGAAGCTCTACAAGACTAAGGATCTGTTTTTGCACCTCGTCTCGCCCACGATAATTGTCATTTTGACTGTCATTCAGGTGCATTACTTCCACAAGCGTTTCATTGCCTCGCTGCAGCAGCAGCAGCCCACAGCAGCCGGAGCCCAGGGCGCTCTACAGGCGCCCAAGCAAACGGAGCCCGGTACCGCGGAGACAGCGCCATCGAAGCGTCGCGGCAGCGCCAGTTCTTTGCGTCGTTCCGTTGGCCACACAGCGGAGGGCGTAACGGGCGTGGCCGCCACAACAGACTTCGAGACATCTGTGCGAGATCTGGTGCGCATCTCGTTCCGCAAAATCAAGAACAAATCGGAATACATATTCAAGCGCTTCAAGACCGTCTTCTGGCGCTTCCTCGAGCTGCACATCATGAAGGCCGTCTACATAGCCGCCTTCGTGTGCAGCGTGAGCGAGGTCTGTGTGCTGCACATCATCTTTGTGGGCTTCTGTGTGCTGGGCGCGACGTCGAGGAAGTCGGTGCAGGTGGTGGTCAGTCGACTGATTAGCTTCATAGTGACCATCATAGTGCTCTCCAAGATGATCTATCAGATTGAGTACCTGGATCATACGCAATATAATGTCAGCTGCGTGAGTGACTCGATTGATTCTTATTATTTATATCATGACCTATATATAATGATCGTCTGCTCTTCCAGTCCGACAATCGCACTGCTAACAATGCCGAGTGGGTGGGCCTCACCAAGGCGAGCAAGGTGGAGGGCGGCCTGATGAGCCTGCTGCGCACCTACATCATCTACATGGTGATCGTCACCATGCACGCGGTCATCTCGCTGCGCCAGCTGCAGATGCGCGTCAAGATTGGCGAGAACGTGGCCAATCAGCCGAAGCTGCTCTTCCAGAACATCACACGCGCCGATGCGGAGCAGGATTTGGTTGGCCTAGTCAAGTATCTGCTTAACTTTGGCTTCTACAAGTTCGGCATGGAGATCTCGCTGATTGCGCTCGTGTCGACAATCACCTATCGGCAGGACATTGTGGCAGTGGTCTATGCCCTCTGGCTGGTGGTGCTGCTGCTGCTCAAGCGCTCGCAGTGCGCCAAAGTGTGGGGCGTGTTCCAGTGCTTCTTTGCCATCTCCATACTGTTGCAGTATATAGTGCTGGTGGGCTTGCCACCAAGCATGTGCATGGGTAGGTCTAAGACTTGTCCTGTCCATTACTCCATTAATATCCCGCCTGCTTGCAGTTTATCCCTGGGACGAGGGCTCCTTTGGCGAGAGCATTCAGCGCTGGACCATGCTGCCCGGCGCACTGCACTTCAATCACGTGCCCAAGCTCATCTTCGACTTCATCGTGCTCATCATTCTGAATCGCCAGAAGAGCATCTTCTGCATCGAGCAGCGCTACGCCACCAACGACGACTATCCGGGTGGCAGCAATCGCAGCGTCATTGGCGACATCGCCCAGCTGGGGCGCGTGCCCTTCGACAATCCCACGCATGACTTCTGCTCGTATATACGGAACTATGCGGATATACTGAAGAATGGCGTGCTCTGCGGCTTCTATTGGTTCACCTTGGCGGTCGTCTTTCTGGCCGGCACAAATATTGCCGATCTGCTGGCCCTTGGCTACCTGATTGGCGCCTTCATCTTCCTCTGGCAGGGCTCCGATTTCTATTTGCGTCCCATCAACACGATCATCAGTCGCTGGAATTGGCTGTTGGCCTTCAATGTGATGAACATCGTCATCAAGACGAGCATTCAAATGGCGGGCTGCCTGTTCATGACGCCGCTGACCACCCACTGCTGCTGGCTGGTGCATATGCTGGGCATCACCTGCACGAGCAGCCTGATCCATGATCAGGAGCTGATGGCAGGCGAGGATCCGGACCTCTCCCTGGGACCCGATGAATGCCCCAAGATAACGCATCAAGTGGTCCTGCTGTGGGACTCCATTTGCTTTGCCTTCATCATATTCCAGCTGCGCATCTTCAAGTCCCACTACTTCTGTCACATCATCACGGACACAAAAGCCAACAATATCCTCGCCTCCAGGTGGGTGGACTTTGGTTATTCGCTACACCTTCAGCTTCATTCGTGTGTCCTGTGTTTTTCTTGCAGAGGCGCGGACATCATCGAGAGCTTGAGGCAGAAGCAAATTGCCCATCGTCACGATCACGAGAAGCAGGTGCTGCACAAGATCAAGCGGAAGATGGAGCGCATCCGGGCCACGCAACAGAAGATGCTGCGTCCACTGGACAAGCAGACGCACTTTGATGGTAAGTCGGCTTTGGGTTTGCTGCATCGGGATTTTGTATCTGGACTCGCTCCACTTTCTTTTTGGTCGCGTTGCTATTTTCCATATGTTTTTGCATTTTGTACTATGGAAATTGTCGTCTCGATTTTGTTTTGTTTATCGCGTGTGTGTGTGTGTGTTAACTCTAATTCCGGCTTGAATCAAAGGGCGGCGCACGCCTTTGGAGCCGAGTTTGGCTGAGGAAGCGCCGCTGGCGCATCAGAGCAGTTTCGTCTCCTGCCAGGGCTCGGGCTATCAGACGCCAGATGGCGGCAGCTCCAGCTCGGGCACATCCTCGCCAGCGCGCGCCTCCCTGATGTCGAGTCACAGCAGCAGCAGCAGCGCCGAGAGCGTGGATAGCGCCGATGCAGCTGTCGTCATTGAGCCGGAGATTAATATAATGCCCTGCGAGGAGGAGCCCAACTATGTCGATGTGCAGTCGCTGAGCGAGGAGAACTTGCCGGGGATCAAGCCACCAACAGCTGTAAGTGCTGCCATTGGGCCTAGTCCTACCTTCTCTACCTGTTCCTTGCCTCCCTCGAAGCCCAACACGCCGAGCACGGAGGCACTGTCAGCCCTGCTGACCGAGGGCTTCTTGGAACCGAAGCGCATTTCCCTGGGCCTGGCGCCGTCCGAGCAGAGTGGACAAAACATGAACATGCAAAGCCTGGTGCCGCCTCTGGCCTCGTATGCCACGGCCTTGGCCTCGAGTGCGGGCAGCTCGGCGAATCCGACGCCCAATTTGCGCCGCCAGCATCGTCGGCAATCGTCCACCAATGCAGCCGTGTCCTGGAACGAGACGGTGTCCATCAAGCGCTCGCCTCTCAAGCAGAACGTGGTAAAGATTTGGCTGCCCGAGCAGTTAGAGAACACCAGGGATAACTCTCCACTTGTTGTCTCGCAGTCGGCGGAGCGTGAGGAGCTGGTTACGATGCGAGAGAAGTCGCTTCATCGGCGCCACCAGAGCATGGGCAACGCCAACTACTCCCTGGACGAGGCACAACGTCTGCAGCGCTCCAGCAATCTGTCCGGCGCCCGGGACGAGGCGGCACTGAGTGCTGCACAGCGTCCGCATAGCTGGGGACCCGTCGGTACGGCCTACTATATGGAGTCGTTGATGTGCGCCTTCTATGAGCCCGCTCTGCTGCATGGACCATGTATTGGATGAATCTTATTTCCATTTCTATTTATAACTTACTTTTCCTATAATGATGAAAACCTTGTACAAAGACATTTTGTTCAATGTGCGTGATCCAATAAAATTTACTGAGCTCCTGTGTAGCAGGACTCGAGCAAGACGAAAAACCCAACTACATATGTAAATAACACTTTTCCTAGAGGTTTTACTTTTATAATACCAATATATACATAGCTATATATACTGCATTGATTTGTCCAGTCAATGCCCGAAGCGTTATCAGAGCTATGCGCGCTTATACAAGTGTAAAATAAAACATCTATATCTTATTTAAATATCTTGAAAATCCTCTTGAGACTCAAATTTCTTCTCCATGTTTTACTACTACTTCAAAACGTTTGCCAAGCGCTCTATTAAAAATACTTTAATAATGAAATTTTGTATGAAAAAATCATTTTTATGCTTTTGCTACAATGTGCTTAAGAACATAATGATTGAAAAATATTTGCAATTAAAAAATATGTTTTAAAAATTGCTCCAGTTAATTTTAAAGATATTGATTTAAAAAAATATTCTAAAATTTGTTTAAAATTTATAGCTAAATGTTAAATATAAAAATTATATTTTGTAATTAAAACAAGCGAAACAAACCAAATCGTTTTGCATATTTAATTTTTTTTTATTCTACATTGGCTTTCTTCCTGCTTTTCTATGTGATGCTCAGCTTAAGCAAGTTATCCAAAATTATTTTAATTTGAAAATTTAAGAGATTATTTTAAATTGTTTATTTAAATTACACTTTGATATCGGAAAAATACAATACGATAATGCAGATCTGATTTATTTGAGATATACTTATTATATACTCATAAAAAACTAATCTTATATAAGTCTCATAGAAAAAAAAATTAATTTAACCACAAATCTTAAACGCTTTCGGCTAGCCGAATGGAAATATATTTACTTTTGATTATAATTTAATTACAATATCATTTATTTATATGATTTACTTTTGGTTTTCTCATATGTATCTGTGTGCGTGTGATTTTATTATAGACCATGGTTATCCACTTCCTGCACCCACAGTACGCAGAAGGAAGGAAATTAAATTGCATCCACATGGTAAAGTTTATTTTTGATTTTGTTTGTTGTGCTTGATTTCTATCATCCAGAAAAAGAAAATCTCCATAATCCATAATATATATATTTAGAATCTAGTTGAAGACTTTGCCTTGCCTTGTATATAATCTGTTGCTATTCTATATATAACAATCTCTATATATGTGGTTCTACAAGCTGCATGAATGTTGCTCTAAACTTCTCTGTATAATAAAATATTTACAATCCTAGATAATTATATTTTAGCCAATTTATTAACCATCTATAAATGTTGTCATTAGAGCTAAGATTTGCTTTTTCCCGAAATCTAATAATGTTTTTCTTCTTCAACGACAAAAGCTACTCGAGCCGGCGACTATTACATGTTTGAGGAAATGGATGACAAGTTCGAGCTGGATCTGATACACGATGAAATCGACTTCTTGGAGGAGGAGAACATTACGGAGAGCGAGATGAAAATGCAACGACGCAAGACTCTTTATGATGTAAGTGAAGTACTCTGTGCATTAGTTCTCTTTCAGCGTAACGATGGAGCATACTAGTTATGTAGATTTTGATAGCGAATGGCATGGTCTATGCATGTTCCTTCTATAGAATACATACATATATTATACCATGGCTGCAAACCAATATCTCGCTCTTAGGTTTGCTTTTGTGAATCGGGGTATTCCTCATGAACTCATCATTATCATTATTTTCATTAGCATTAGCATGATTACTAACATTATCTCCGATGAGAGACCGTATTCGCATAAGTTCAACCTGAGTCCAGTTTGCAGCCTTGGATATACCGATTCCCATAATCTACTGTAAATTCCCTTATAAATTACGCCATCCTCCAATGCTCTGACATTATTGCCACACACACACACACCCACAAAACACACGTAAACAAAAGGTGTGGAAGGATCTGAACGATGCGGAGTATCGCCGTCATTTGTATATGCGCGAGAGGTCCTATGCCTCCGAGCCGGGCTCTCGCATAGCGCTCAAGGATATCGCGGCCAATAGCCTGGACGAGCGGGACGAGCTGACGGCGGAGCGTGCCGGCGGTGCTGCCGGCGAAGATGAGAACGCCGATGACGACGATACCATTGAGTGCGACGTTGGCATACGCACCTCGACGCTCTCCGAACCAGCTGACTTCGGGCGTCGCAGCCAGATGCTGCTCGATGCGCAAACACCGCCCCCCAGTCCCCATGGCGCCGAGGCAGTTGTGAGTGTGCAGCAAACAGAACATTCCTTTAATTGGCGCACCTGTTGAACCAAGTGTTTATCGTACAGCATTTGCTATATATTTTCTATACATACATATATATATATATATTTGATCACGACAGCAGCAACAACAACAACAACAACAACTGCAACTGTTGGCGCACTCACTTTTAATCTATCAACTATATAAGCCTATTTATATATATACTGTACAAATACAACAACAACTACAACATTTGTATATACATATATAGACATAATTTTGTATACTCGTTCACAAAGTGTAAAGGGTATATTAGTTTCTTATTTATTAGTTTACCTATGTCTTGCTATCAGTCTTTCCCAGTGTCCGTCTATCTGTCCGTCCGTCCGTTCTTCCATCTAAACGTAAGTCATTTCTCTACTCCTGATGTTAGAGATCTGAAATGCGGAAAAATACTCTAGATTTATATTTATGCCTAGTTTAGGAAATCTTCATTGGTAGATCTATATATTATTTACCAGATTAGTCAGTGCCTCTCACAGCTTTGCACTGTGAACGAGTATTATGCAGTCGGTGGCGCCTGCCTGCCACATTTTAAATTGTTTTTATCTATCTTAGCTTAATTTCGTTTTCTTGTCTTAATGTTGTTTTCTATTAATGAAACATGAATTTGTATATTATAATAATTTATTTATTCGCTTCCGACTGTTCACAGAAATCGAAGGATGCGCCCACGGACTTCTTTCCGTCGACCAGCAAAGGCGTCTCGAAGGAGCGCGATGCAGCCGGAACGACGAGCACCTCGAAGCTGGTCAAGGATACTACGGATCTGCCAGCTGCGTCTACGACGGCGCCCGTCGCCTCCAAGGAGACCTCGGACAGTAAATCGAAAATGGAACCGGATAGCGGCGATGTGACGGCCAAGGATTCAGATGAGGATTTCGATACGAATCCCATAATACGATTGCTGGAGGGCTTCCTGGTCACTCTGACCATACGCCTGAACCGCTTCTCTCGCAATTATCGCTTCGTCAATCGAATTCTAGCGGGCGAGAAGAAAACTCTCAAAGTATGTACAACATGTAGAGTGCTCACTGTAGCTTGAATAATCTCACTCTCTCTATCTCTCTCTCTCATTCTGGCAGGAATCCAGCTCGCTGAATCGTTTGGGCCTATCCAGCGCCGCGGCCATGTTCCATTTTCTGAAATCGAATCTCGAGAGGTATTTAATGGGCGTTTAGGCTTAGATGGGCGTGTGCGCCGCTTGCGTTTAACTATCCTAACTATATATATTGAATTTCTATTTGTATTTATTTATATATTTTTAATTTTTGTTTAACTGTTCCGTTTGAGCTTGTGTTGAATATTCTGACGAATTGATTTGATTTATTTAATTTTTTATTTCATTTATTTTTTATTTATTTGCATATGTTACCTTTTGTGTTACGTGTGTTTGAAACTGTGTACCTGCTTCCACAAAACAAACAAACAAACAATCAAACAACACAAACAACAACCGACTCATCTCGCATCGCTCACATCAAATGTTGCGTGATCATTATTTTTGTTTTTTGAATATTTTTGAATATTAGTGATGAGCCAGCTTCATCATCCACACCGCGTCGCTCACAGCTGGCTACGGCAGCAGCCACAACAACAACAACAACAACAACAACAGATACAACAATAACACCCACAGACAACAATCACACCAGCACAACACTAGACACAACAACAGCAACAATCACACCGCTCACACCGCCAGAACAAGCACACGTTAAGCCACCGGCAACCAGTACGCCCCACCAAGAGTCGCACGCTGGCGAAGATATCATCGAGTTGCCCGTAGATACCGTTGATGCAGCATTCTCTAGGTAAAGCGAAAACCACTACGAACCTATCCAAGAATCAGAAATGCTTCCAAAAACCTAACCCAACTAACATTCCCTATAAGCCAACTAAACTATCCCCTAGCAAGAGCAGCTCAAGCAACATTTCTCCTATACTGTTAAATAACTTGTTAGCAGAATGAGGGAAGGACTTCAAATATTTAAGATGTTACCTGCTTATGCTGTAAATAGCATTATTATTAGCACTCCAACTGTTATCTGAAACAACTGTTACTCAACAGCCATGGCTTACAGCAGCTATGTTAAATATGCTTAAATTCATGTTATTAGAACTTTAATGCTATCTTATGCTGCTGTTGATTAACATACTCTGTCAATTTACTTAATGTTATTAACAGAAAACGTCTATGCTTAGGTATCTATTTTCATTTCATTGCTACAGGCATGTTAATATGAATAAAATGCTATGTTGAGTAGCTATTTACCAGCTTACTCTATAATAACTGTCAACGTTATCAACGCTGAATATCTTATAGCCATGCTAATCCTATGTTGAGCTGCTGGCGTATAGCTAACTATAGCTAAATCTCTGTTTTACTACTAATATATAAATATTGTAATAATTGGAGTATATATACTAGATATATATTATAATAGTTAATGCATTTTATATGTCATATATCAGAATTTATGTGCTTCTATAAACATTTCATATGATCTTGCTGTAGCTTTAGAGTCCCATCTTCCCAATCGCTTTCGTTCAACATGTGCTTCACTGTGCTCTGTTCTTAATCTTTTGTTTAACATTTAGTGACATCGAATTTAAAATACATAAAAGAATAATCATATCTGGCTATTGTAGTTCACAATGATGCTTTAATTTGATAAGAACATTTTTTCATTTTTATTTTATTTAATTTTTTTTTTATTTCACGTTTTATTTTGAAAAAATTTGTAAGTAAACAACTGAAAGTGTAAAAAAATTAACTCTAATCTAATTTTGAATTAAAACTGAACCAACAAAATCTTTACTAATTTCTTTATATATTTTTTATCTTACATTTTGACATTTGTTCTGCGCGCATTTCGATTCATCTGAAAAACTTTTGTGTTTATAGAAAACAATCAATCAGTTCATCGCCGCCGATCAAAGGGTAAGTAAATCTCTACATGTTTAACATCGATATCTTAAGTATTACATACATACACACACACACACACACAGACATATACATACGATATATATCTATATTTCTCTTAAGGATCTACTAATATAACAACACCTCTAATACTCTATTATTGAGCAAAATATTTTGTTTCTACTTACTCGTATCTCATCTCAATTATAACTGTGCATTTTTGATACAAATACAAATACATATACGAATATACATACATACACACACACATACATACATACACATGTCAATGCATTGCCTGCCTCTTTGGCGCTTTCTATATAGCCGCAAATCGGATTGCGGCCTACCAGAAATACGCATTAAAGCGCCATCTATTGAGCGCAGCGTGCAGCAGCAGCTGCCGCCGCCGCCGCCACCGCCTCAGCCGTCTCACACGCCCCTTCATCACCAGCATCCCCATCAACATCATCATTATCCAGCTCATCATCAGCAGCAGGCGAGCATTGGTTCGGGTTCGCTCAGCAAACACTGGTCCTACGAGCACGTGGACAGGTATTGACCACGCCTACTTCGTTAGACTTACACACGCACACACACACACATACATACACACACCCACGGTCTACCCCATCAACCAGTTGCAAGTACTCGTAGCGCTGTTGCTGTTGTTGTTGCTGTTGCTGTTGTTACTGTGGCTAATTGTAACCTTTCTACTATATATACATACCTCAGCCTGATCACATGGAACACACGCTCATCGTAACTCTCTTTCATCTCTCTCTATATATTTAACTATCTATAATACTATATCTAACTCTCTGTAACTCCAGAGTCATCGAGGCAATCGGAGTCGAGTTTTTGTTGTAGCTAGGTTTATTACTAGAGGAGTAATTTAGGTTCTCCTGAAATGGAAGAGCTCCATACCTCCATAGATTACTTAGTTTCAATTGGATATTATTGAATAATTTGTATTATATGAAATTGTTACAATAAAATTTAGAGTTAAAGAATAGACTTTGAGGGTCAGGCTGAACCCATTTATCTTCCATCTATCAATTTAAAATTTAATGATAACCCATATATACAATAAGTCGAGATCTGCTGACAATCAGCATCAGACATCTCGGAAGTTCCAGCTCCGATTGCACCGCCTAACTCTCTAACTAATACACTCTATCTCTCTACTATATACATATTCTATCTATACTCTCTCCTCCTCTATCTCTCTATATATACATATATCTTTGGCTGTCTATAAGTAATTGATTTGCATCTGCTTTAATTCAAGTCCATGCCACTCTTTGTGCGTTATTTGCTAGTATGTATGTATGTATTTGTTGTTGTTTGTGGCTTTATATTGATAATCCGCGATTTATGAGTTGTACGAGTTATAAGACGATCTCTGTTGGGATCGCTGCACGATCACAGCGCAATGTAGAGTGCGTCGCATGCAGCGCACAGGCTCCGCACCCAGCAGCCAGGCATGCGAATTGCTAATCCTGTATAGAAATTCCTAGTTGAATCGAAATCTTGATCTTTCCTCGTCTAATTCGTGTTCTGGGCAATTGCAGCGCGGGCGACTTCAATCTGGAGGAGGAGAACTTTGCGCAGCGGGATCATCACATCATTGTCGAGGTGCTCATCTCCTCGTGGTACGCGCTGTTGGCCAACACGGATCTCATATGCTACATTGTGGTGTTCATCAATCAGGTGAGTTTGCAGCGGAATTCATGTTTAAACTGTTATTGAATCTCAACTCTCTCGATTCCAGGTGGTTAATGCTAGTGTCATCTCGTTACCTCTGCCACTTATGGTCTTCCTCTGGGGCACCTTGTCACTGCCGCGTCCCACGAAGACCTTCTGGGTGACCTTGATTGCGTACACCCAGGCGATTGTGCTGGTCAAGTGCATCTTTCAGTTCAAGCTGATCTGGGCCAATTACCACGACTTGATCAATCAGCCCCTGACCACGGCGAAGATCTTCGGAGTTGAGATGAAGACGCATTATGCAGTTTACGACTTGATATTGCTTTTGGTCCTGTTCCTGCATCGCTATCTGCTCAAGTCGCAGGGTCTGTGGAAGTCCGGCTACAAGGATACGGACCAACAGTTTGCCAAGCCCACAGCCAGCATGTGAGTGGATATCGAGGGTGTTGCTCGGTCGTCCTTTAACTCAATTGTACTTTCATCCATTTCCAGCGATGAGCGCGAGGATAGCGACAACATGTCCCAGCCGGACTCTCGCCAGCTTAATGAGGATGCCGCCCAGAAGCTTAGCCTGCAGGTCAGCCAGGCCTCGCTGCCTGGTTCGCCGGAATATACCAAGTCGGCCATCAATCAATTGGAGTAAGCCATCTTAGGCACAATTGTTTCTTCCTTTTACTAATTTATCTTCGTCCCCTGCCTTACAGACGCACCAAGTACACCTCATCGCTGCATAAGTTCTTCTTCAGTCTGGTGCACAAATCCCGACTGGCTACCGATGTTTATGCTCTCATGTTCCTCTGCGACTTTGTCAACTTCTTTGTGCTGCTCTTTGGCTTTACGGCATTTGGCGTGAGTGCAGAAATTCCTACTCTTCAAATCGCAATACAATGATCTCTCCTTCCTCTTTGTAGACTCAACAAACGGAAAGCGATGGCGGCGTACAGACCTATTTGGCTGAGAATAAAGTGCCTGTGCCCTTCCTGATCATGTTGCTGGTGCAGTTCCTGTTGATTGTCATCGATCGGGCGCTGTATTTGCGCAAGGCTCTGGTCAAAAAGATCATATTCCATTTCCTCTCCGTGATTGGCATACACATCTGGATGTTCTTCGTGGTGCCAGCGGTGACGGAGCGAACATTCAACTCGCTCGCTCCGCCGATTATCTTCTACGTGATCAAGTGTTTCTATATGCTGTTGAGCTCGTATCAGATCAAGTCCGGCTATCCGAAGCGCATTCTGGGCAACTTCTTTACCAAGGGCTTCTCGATGGTCAACATGATTGCGTTTAAGGTCTACATGCAAATTCCCTTCCTCTATGAGCTGCGCACCATACTCGACTGGGTGTGCATCGACAGCACCATGACCATCTTCGATTGGCTCAAGATGGAGGACATCTTCTCCAATATCTATCTCATACGCTGCACACGACAATCGGAAACGGATTTCCCAGCAATGCGCGCCCAGAAAAAGGCATCGCTATCCAAACTGATAATGGGTGGCACGATCGTCCTCTTGATTGTCATCTGTATTTGGGGTCCACTCTGTCTGTTCGCCCTGGGCAACGCGGTGGGCACCTCGAACGTGCCGTATCAAGTGTCCTTGTCCATACGCATCGGCCCCTACGAGCCCATCTACACGACCAACAACTACGACAGCATCTTTGAGATTGACTCCAAAATGTATGGCCAAATGACGAATGCGTTTCTCAAGAACAAACAAGCCTTGACCTTCGTAGCGGGATACGACGCAACGGATGTAGCTGCGGTCAAGCTGGCGGGCAATTCGCCTTCACTGTGGAACATAGCTCCGCCGGATAGGGAGCGCTTGACCAATGACTTGCGTAACAGTGAGTTCAAGATTTCTAAATCTAATGCTCTTCAATAATATAATATAATTTCTGTTTAGATCACACTCTGATTGCCCGGTTTTCCTATTCGTTGACCCGCAAGGCGCCTGCCAAGGGTCTTAAGGAGAACGTGGGCGACGAGCACATCATCAAGCTGGACGAAACATTTGAGGGTCGCACGGCGCTCATCAACATGCTAAACGAGACCTATGAGCAGCTGGAGGGCAATGGCAATAGCAATGCCAATGACACCAGCAATGCCAACGACACCATCACTGCCGACACCAGCAAAGCGAGTGGCAATTCAAGCGAAGTCGTCGTGGTGCTACCCAAAATGATACCCAAGTTCATAAAGGTGCTCAACTCGGGCGATGCGTTCGTCGTAACCGTGCTGAGCGGCAAGGAGCAGGAGTACCGCCCGCTGGTCATCAAAATGCATCGGGATAATGCCACCAATGGCTTGTGGTGGGAGATACGCGACTTTTGCTATGATAACTTCTACAACACGACACTGAAAGACTTGGCCTACAGCAACTGCAGCTCGGGCATTGTCATGTACACGTTCAATGACAAGAAATTCCCATCGACCTTCAGTTTTCTAACAGCTGGCGGGTGAGTCGAAACTCTTTGTCTATACCTCTATATATAAGGCTGACGAGAGATGATTGATGAGCTATGACTAAGAGTTAATGTTAAGGTCTATTGAATAACGACTGACTAATGATTGATCAACTGATTGATTGAATAATGAATGACTGATGACTAAGCTAATGATAATTGAAAACTTACCCATGTCTAATTCCAAGTCTAATAACATATACCCACATATATAATATCGCTTTCTCTATCCTTCCACAGCATCATTGGTCTCTATACCACATTTGTGTTATTGGCCTCGCGCTTCATGAAATCCTTCATTGGCGGTCAAAATCGAAAAATCATGTTCGAGGACCTGCCCTATGTGGATCGTGTGCTACAGCTATGTCTGGATATATACCTAGTGAGTCAATGCTGCTTACAAATTGTACATCAGAAGTCTTAACACTCTTTTACCTTGCAGGTGCGTGAGGCTCTGGAATTCGCTTTGGAGGAGGATCTCTTTGCGAAATTGCTCTTCCTATATCGCTCGCCCGAAACGTTGATCAAATGGACCCGTCCAAAGGAGGATTATCTGGATGATGATGGTGACACCGATTCCATACCCAGTCGCATGAGTGTGCGTCGACCTGAGCAACTACAACAACAACAACAACTGCAGCAACAGCAACAATAACATAGGTCTAATCTAAATGTTTGAGTTTAACTAGCGTATTGTTTACGTATATTTAAGTACGTATATGTTTATACATAGGGAGATTGCGTTAACGTAGGTTTCATAGTCCTTTTTTAAATTTATACTGCAATTAGTTAGAGAGAAAGCATATACAAGAAAAACAAAAATCAATACACGCACACACACATCAAATACACTTACAATTAATTACTCTCTGTATGTAGTTAAACTTTGTCAAGTACTGCCGTGTGAAAATGTTATCTAGTGCATGTTCCATAGGGCATACAATACAGATCTATGCATACTGAATAGGAATTGTAACTAAAACAAAAAATAACTAATTGTAAGCAGAAAGTGTTGTTAAATAGAGCAAGAGAAACAAAAACGAGAAATGAATAGCTAAACGAATTGATAGAGATTTCGCCTAAGTTATCTAACTAAGTCATAACAACGTATATGTGTATAAACTCTAATGAAAATATTTATTATAATAATAATAATAATGAGAACTCATATTCAGGGATTTTTAGCATTTTACAAAACGAAAAACAAATAATTAAACTATGCATGCAAAAGCATTCAACTTATTTGCATAAGTTCAAACATGAAACATAATGTTTTTATATACATGTATATGTTTATATATATATAATATAATAAAATGTCATATATCATATGTAAATTCGTGTCGTGTGCGCAAGCTTCAAATTGAATTTGTATTTATGTTGCCTTATATAAAATGATATTACGTATCTGTATGTTTGTTATAGACTAAAATCTATGTATATCAATATATAGTTATCTGTGTATGTTTGCTTATATGTATAGAGGAGCGTTGAATTTATTTCTAGGCATATCACATATATCACATGTTTTTTCTTTGTAATATCGCAAAATGTCATTTGCTTCATATCAAACTGAAAGGCTTCAAATCAAATCAAAATCAAAATCAAATCAAACTGTATCTGCTATGCCTGCATACCAAATACATATGCAAATGTATATCGAATAGGCAATCTCCAATTAGCTATAGTTGAACTACACACACACACCATACACACACGCCAACTAAAAATTTACATGCTATTTTATATAAATTTAAACGGAATTCATAAATGTAAAAAAAAAATAAAAAAAATCAGAAAAAAATACCTAAACTAATTTTTGTACCAAGCAACGAACAAATTGATTGTAAAACTTAAATGTACTATTTAATAAATAAAAAAGAAGTAAATGTACCTAATTTAAGTTGATCAATATTGAAAAAAAACTAACTGCAATCCAAACTAAATTTTTTTTCTTGCAAAATGAAGTTTTTCTTTATGAAAATGTGAATAGTCCATCTTTTCTATTTTGAATTATGTATGGGCCTAAAATCAAGACAAAGCTATCAGATCTGGGGCCTTCAAATCTTAATCTATTATTTTTCAGCTCAAATTTATTTAAGGTCTCCAATGCAAACTTTAGTTGGACTCAGCCGAATTCATCAAGACTTCGGAATACCATTTATTTAACAAACTAACATTTAATAAAAATAAAAAACAATTTTAACACATTTATAAATAATATAAAATTTGTAAATATATTTTCTTAATGGCTCGTTCATGTAATGCGCGTTGAGCAGTTGCGATAGTGCGTAAATTTGCTGTCGCTGCTGTCCAGGCTGTTGGCGCTGTCGCTGCTCTGCTGTCGATTGAATTTGATGGCTGGGTAGACCTCCTCCCATTGGGATTCGCTGCGACTGAGCACACCACGCCGGCTAGGAGTCGTAAAGGCGTCCTCCTGCTGGCCACTCGGCTGCCTTTGACTGGCTTTCATGGTGTTGGCGCGTGTCGCTGCGTTGGGCAAAGGATTGTTGAGCATCTGCGTCACACTCTTGGACAGGCGAATGGACTGTATGCGATTGTAGCCACTGCCTGTGGGCTTATAGCGCTCCAGCTTGGACGTGAGCCGTGCCATCTCAGTGCTCATCCACTCGGGTGCTCGCATGCTGACTCGTCAAGCTCTGTAAACGTTCTAAACGGAGTGAGCAACGAACGCGTTGCTTTTATAGCCCCACAACGGCTTGAAGGTGATATAACTGGAGGGCATTGGCACATAATCGATACACCTTGGCCGATGGCATTGCATAAAGCTGAACTGCAGGGCTTGACAAGTCAAACAGATTTGCCAGAGGCTTGCACAAAAAGAACCTTGCAACTGACCTATTAACTAAGCATTGGCCGAGCAGGTGTAACAAAAAGTTGAATAAGAGGCGTACCCCGGCCTTGTACGGCTCGTTAGTAACCGCAGCTGAATTGCAGTCAGTTAAAATGTGTTCTATGGGTCGCAATAGACCCTCAGGGAGAACAACCAGCATTATTTATATAGATAACATTTAATTAAAACTAACAGGACAAGAAGATGAATAGGTATGTAGCACATATTAAAATCAAAACAGAACAGGCTATAAAATTCGAATTACTTTGGATAGTGGTACAAGTATTTTCGCCTTTTGGTCAACAAGATATGCTATGTACAAAAGCTAAGCGAAATATCTTAGGAGACCTTGCAATTGTCATCGTGCAAGTGATCCCCGTCGAGCTGCACATCATCCTCGGATGTGGAAAAGACCCCGCCCTGCAGAACTTTATTGACAGCTGCGCGGGCCAAGTAGCCGGTGGTCTCCGAATAGGGCAGCGAATAGAAGGCGGTCAGATCTTCCTGCTTGTTGGGCTGGCTCTGGGCCTGGCCCTGCTGCTCCGACGACTGGGGCTGTTTCTGTATGTTGTTGTCCTTGCAGTACATGGCAAAGGCCTCGGCAATGATGCCATCCAAATCAAGCGCCTGCTTGAAATGCAGCTCGGGATTGCTAAAAGGAAGAAATATTAGATTTATGTCTTTAATTTCAATTTCTTAGGATTTGTTTTACCGATTCAGTATGGTGGCCACAATGCAAAGCAGCTCCACGGTTATCTGCCGCCGTTCGGGCCGATCGATACAGATTAGTGTCTCTTCCACAAGCAAATTGAACGTCAGTTCGCCTCGACTCATGCTCGTCAGTGTGGGTGTGGCAGGCAGATGATGTCCCTGCGTTAGAATGCCCTGTGGAGTGCGCTGCAGAATCTCCCAGATCTTGTTGTAGAAGTGCTTAGGCACACGGCACAGGCAACCCTCCAGCTGGCGGCGCTGCAGCGTGGTGAGCCTACAAGGGAATTCATAGAGCTTATGTAGGACACTTGAAATATTCTTCATGCAATTTACATACTTTTCTTCGACAGCCCACTCGCTGACTGTGAGCACCTTCTGCAGCAGAATGCGCACCTGGAAAGGCGACAGATTGTCCACATCGATGCTCTGCTGGCCAGAGATTTGCAGATAGATGCGCATGGCCTCTAGCACCCAGCCAATGCGTATTTTCAAGATGCCACGAAACATGGACGGATTGGTGGCAATCAGACGACCGCAATAGAGAACCACCTCCTGCTGCAGCACAGCCTGGATGACATCATAGGGCTGCACACTAGTGTACATCACATTCTGAATTTCCGCTGGGGTCATCGGCTTATCGAAGACCGTTTCCTTCTGGCCGATGATGCCAACGGTCAGCTCCTTGCCATTCACCAGCACAGTGGTGATAAACGGACTGATGGAGTCCACAATATGGTGCAATAACGAGGAACAGTAGCGCACAGCGCGCCAATATCGCAGCGAGCCAGCGCGATGATAGAGCTGCGTCAAGGCCGTGCTCACATTGAGGCCGTTCACCTCGAAGTGGGGGCCCTCGCGGTTGAGCAGAATGCCCCACAGCTGGCACAGGCAGTAGATGGACTCGGTGCTGCGCAAAGCATTTATGATATCCGGCGTGGGTTTGCTGTCGAAATGCTAGGCAAGAATCCAAAAATTAATCTGGACAGTTGAGGATTAGAGACGGGTTCCACTTACTGCTACGGAGATCTTCTCCTCCACATAGGTGAGTGCCTTGGGCACATCTGTAAGCGACTGATAGCCTATATACTCGTGATTGATTTGCGAAAAGGCATTCTCGTTGTCTGTCAGATCGTTTTGGTTCATGAAGTCCAAGTGCTCAATGCACGAGCTGCTGATGAGATTCTGTAGTCGGCCGATGCGCACCTTCATGCCGTCGCAGTAGCCCTTCTTCAGCATGGCCAGCAGATCCAGCATCTCCTTGAACTGCGGATCGCGCATATGCTCCTCGCGTATCAGCAGGCAAACAGTGGGCCGGCCCGACAGACGCCAATACTTGCCCACGAATTGCAGCTCTGTTTTGATGTCGTCAATCAACAGGGCCATATCGCGGTACAGATAGAAGTCCGACACCTCAAAGATGAGCGGATAGCAGAGCACGGTCATGCCGCAGATGCGATAGACCTTGCTGGTGCCGAGCGAGCCAACGGGACGCGAGGGGCGACCCGAGAGGCCGACCTTGTGATTGACGCCCAGATGCTGATAGACCTTGATTAGCTCCGTTGAGCTCCAGATTTGCACGGGCTCCACCTGTAAGCGAGGAAGCGAGAAATTAGTTATAAACTTGAAGTGGAAGAACTGTACTCACTCACCTCATGAGGGGTTTGCGTTTGTATGCCATAGGTGGCCATCATGGCCTGCAGGCGCATCGACTCAGCGATGAGCACGATTTGCACCACTAGATCTGTGGCGGTGCCCTGCAAGCATCGAAAACAGTTAGAAAAGCTGACAGACTCCACTGCATGCCAATAATAAGAAGTTAGACAATGCATAGAGCCAATTCTTTACATGAAGGTGTAAAAAATTATGCTAGCCAAATGCCAAAATGCAGAAAAACAATTAGCATAACAATCATAAAAGAGACACAGAGAGTGAAAGGGAGCGGGGGAGTGGGATGGCTGAGGAGCTGGGAAAGGTGTGGAGCATACAGGACAAAAGGTGTTGATGACTTCAAACATGCTACGGACAAAGACACTAAAAGAGAAAATGTGAAACAAAATTGAAAAGAAAAATGTACAAGGAACATACAAAATTAATTACAAAAAGGTTTTCGAACAATTTATAGTACATTGTTTTAAATTAAAAAAGACATTGATATACACAAAAAAAATCAATTATTGTAATTATTAAGTGAGAATAATTTTTGAATTTTATACAAGGCTGCAAATCAATTTGAAAACTTCAATTGCTTAGATTATAAGCGAAATAAATGATTTATTAAATAGTTGATATAATATTTATTTTTTTATTATATAATTTTTTTTTTTTAACCGTTTATCAGTCGTTTTACTCATAACTTTACAATCTTTTATTTTTTTTTTTTTTAACTTTTACTTATTATTTAGAATTTGCAGCCCTGTTTTATTGAATTAAATAAATATCACAGACAATTAAAGATGGTGAAACCGAAATTTAGGAAATTCTTTGCCATTTGAACTGCCAATTTGTTGCCTAGACAACGCGCAATGAGACAATTGAGAGCCCGCTGATATTATTTGAGCCACAAATTACCTGCGGGGTATCCAATATTAGCGGTACGCGTCGATTCTATTTAATTTTGGTTCGTGATGGTATTTTTTAGTAGAAAAATAAATCATTTAACAAGGGCTTTTAATAGGTTAACAAACTATTTTCATGATCGCATTCAAGCGAAAGTAGCGCAAACTGTTTTTCTAGTCTTGTGGAAGCGCCCCCCGCAAAACAAACAAATTAGTTAAAAATTATTTAAAAAAAAAAATCAACTTCAATCTATTTAGTTGCTTGCTTTTTTGGGTTAAGTACATAACGGTTAGGGAACAAGAAGCCAAACTGAATACTACGTAGACGGGTCGATGCCCAAGATTAGGTGAACCATTACTTACAGTGCCCGGTTTAGCCTATGCATTTATGTAGTAGAAGAAGAGCGTGTGTAGGAACAAAATATGCAGTAGATTGATTTTTTTTTTTTTTTTTTTTGTTTTTTTTTTTTTTATAGATAAGAACAGAGTACCGAAAAGAGTAAAGAAAAAACTTGTTTGATTTAGATACAAATAAGCAGAGGAGGGTAAATAATGTCACTATATACAATTAACACAGCCACAAATTAAAAATTATTATTTCTTTATTATATTTTACATGAAATAGCTAATAGGCATAAGTATTTTGAGTTTGTATGTGTGTATGTATATGTGCATCCCAGTAGGAAATGCGGGGCTAGGATCTATAACAGAATTACTGTACTAAACAAGCCTGGAGACTTGAAAAACAAAATAAAAGGAAAGTACCTTATATAAGTCCTGACGACTCTGTGAAAAAGTGCTGAATAAAACTTTGTTTTATGTTAATGAAATTATTGATCTAGAATTTGAATAAATAAATTTTGGATTAGTTTTTCAAAATTTGTTTAAAGTTCAGCATTTGAGTAAATTCTTTTCCACCCTATATATGTATCTGCTGTACATTTGATTTTAGTTATTATTATTTTATTTTTTTTTTTTAGCATTTTTTCTTTACTATAAAGTATAAAGTTTCCTTAAGTCGATATGAAGTTCCCCAAAACTGAAATTCCTGCTGGGATGGATCGTTATAATACCGAATATGTACTCTATATACAATGTATATATATACATATGCAGAGTTCGATCAGTGCTTAGTGTGTGTGTGTCGCCAAATATAAGAATTTGGATAAGAATTTTTATTCTAATGTGCAGAAACAACTAAGAAAAAAAGCGCATTAATTTTGTATACATAAAATTTGGATAACATATGTATGTATATAGATCGCTGATGACGTTCTACTTGAGTGCGAGTAATTTGGTAGCATATGGAATTTGTGGGACTACTTACTTTGTGTTTATCATCGAAAGCTTTGCCCTGTTTATAATATTGTATGCCAACCAATAGAAATATTTTAGGGATTGTGGATAGATACGATAAGGTTTTTTGATTTCGTTCGTTTTCGATCGTAGCAGTAGTAGTAATTGTTCGATATGTACGTGGTAGTAAAAAGAATGGACACAATATATATGTATGTGTATGGTATAAGTAGTATTAAATAGCCAATTCAATTACGTAGCCCATAGTAAGGAGATTAAGATAACATTACAAATCAATTCGAATACCAATTAGACAGCGAACGCAGACACACACAGCAGACACACAGTAAAGAGCAGCAGCGGCGGCGCTGGCAGATAGCTGAGCCCCTACTCCCGGGCCAGTGATTGATGCTCGTCGATATATGTGAGAAGTACCCTCTACCCGCTCCGCCATGAACTCACCTGAAATGCGGAGTAGCGACCCGCACGCCGTGGACGATTGTAGCTGGGCAAATAGCGCCTGATGGGGTCCAGCTCGTTAATGTGCAGCAGTCCAGCTGTTAGCAGCTGGGCGATGATGAAGAACGATTGACCCCAGAGGAACAGGGATTGCGAGGGCGCACGCATATAGGAGCCCTCGCCGTCGGGGGCATAGTACATGGTCACGACGGGATCTCCGTTGGCGTCGGTGTGCAGGCAGCGGCGCAAATCATTTTGGTACTCCTCAATCTGCTCATTGTTGTTCTTGAAGACGCCGTCGATGATCATGGTTATGAAGAACAGTGGCCATTCGCACTCAAGACCCTCGAACTCCTTCAGCTCGCCAGGCTGATAATAGCGTCGCGTCTTGTCCTCTGCTTTGCTGAGGAAGCCGTCGCGGGTAAAGCGCTTGAAGCCCATTTTGCTACGCAGGCGATTGACGACATTCTGCTTGGTCTGCTCCACGAGGCGATCTTCGTGTGAGGCAAAGGCTGGGAAAGACAGTGTCAACAACAGCGAAGCATCCACGCCCTGAAAAAGGGAGAGGTCTTAGAAGGGCTGAGATGCACAGTAATAGATGAATATATTGCCTTGGAGCTAGATTCACGCGGCAGCATCGTCTCGAAGATGCTGCGATTGCGATTGTGTGCATCAATATCCACGTAGACGACGCTCCAGGAGGCGCCCTTCTCGCCAAACAAATTGCAGCCGTTGATGGCCTCCAAAGCGGACTTGGCCATGCCTGAAATAAAGATGATTAGAAACGATCCATATTTTAATTTGAATGTAATAGTACCTATGGAGGAGGCATGTATCTCTGGTGTGCCATTGTTGTACTTGGAGCCGCGCTCCCACATGCCAAAGTCGGGCGTACGATACGCGCGCTCCACATAGTAAACCAGATTCTGCACAAAGGCCACCTCATCGTGCGTGTATATGATCTGCAGTCCCGATGTGATCATCTGCACCAGAAACAGCAAATACAAGGAGACCTGCAATGGAGAGGAATCCCGGTTAGTTGAGCCCGTAGGAAGTGCTGCATTCGCTACTCACACAATCGATTTGCAAGTGATTGTAGAACTCATCGGGATATATCTTCTCGCCCGTGTGCAGTTGGAATTTGCTGTGCAGCGCATGCTGATTGGACTGACGCTGCTTAAAGAGCTCCACGCGCGCCGCCTGCTTCACCCAGCACTCCAGAATGCCGCGCATGCACTTGACTGTGCTCTGGCCAAGCTCGTAGGACTTGCCGCGATCATCGTCAATGCGCCTGTACGCCTGATACAAGCTCCATACTGCCGCTGCACAGTAGACACTGTCCCGTACCGAACCCACGACTTGGTCGGTGCTCATCACCGGAAACAGGCCAGTGATGGGACTCTGGTAGCGCAGCAGTTGGCGTTTAACTAAAGGTGGCAGAATGGTAAAAATATCCAAATTAATACAAGACTGAGACGGGCTAAGAAATATATATTTTTAAATCAGGCGACAATATACCCACCTTCATTTATAAGGCATTCAAATTACAGCACGCAAATAAATAAATGTAGTGTGTGTAACTGACTTTGTCTCAAGCACATACACACTTAGATACGCTCCATCGAATCAATCATGCAGGAGCGAAATATGAATGTAGCAAAGCCTTTGGCTGCTTAGAAGTGCTTCTCTTGCTCAAAGGGGAAGAATGTGTGCGTTGCTACTATCGCTCACGTATATGGAGAGAGCAAGCAAGCTTATATGGTAGGCCCTCGACTGGGTGAAATTCCGAGTCGGAGTCTTTTAATAGTGGGAGTGCGCTCAGCTCGCTCTAACTACTAGCATAAGTGCAGAGAGTAAGCAACAGTAAGCATGTTTTGACATCTCGCTCTACAGGAGAGGAAAGATCAAGCGAGTGAGAGTGCTATATGAAATTAGCATTGCTGCACAACAACAAATTTGTTTTCAATGTATTGCCGATGGTTATACTCATCATATACTCGCTATCATAAATAAATTAGAGTTTAGCCAAGTGTCAATGGCTTTAGCACGCATGCCGCAGCAGCATGTTTTGAGACTTTGTTTACAAATGTAAATAAACAAACCGCTTATATGCCGTAGCGATCGGAGAGAGAGAAAGAGAACGAGATAGCATACAGACAGAGGGAGAGCAACAAATCGCAGACGCTGGCTAAACAGCTGCCGTTATTTAGGGGCAAACATTGCGAACTGTTTATAAATAGAACGCGCTGCGTCGTATCGTGTCAGCAAATTGAAGCTAAATTGGCTGCCCTACACAGACGCCGCCAAGGTTATATAAAACGAATGCAGCTCAATAGAGAATGATGCTTCCGTTTGATTTTTGCTAATTACCGATGCCATAGTAAATGTCCAGCTGCTTGACCGTGTCCTCATAGTTGATGGTCTTCAGAAATTGATCCAGATTGATGTCCTCCAAGCTATTGTGTCTGCCACTTGTCGATATACCACTGTTTGTGGTGCCTCCTCCAGCTGCGCTCCCGCCAGGTGTTGTAACTAATACGCCGAGTCTGTAGGGCGAATTTCCATGCGGCTTGTTAACGAATTTATTGAAAATATTATATTTCATTGGAATGCTTACGATTTCGGCACATTACGCATTGTAGTTGGCTGCAATTAAACGCCTTCTCTGGCTTTAATTGCCAGCTTTAATTAAAAGTGTATACGCAGAAGAAAAAGTATACCCTTCAAGAAGTCAAATGTGATTTGCAATGAGACCAGCTGCTCGCACAGACACATGCGCGCATTTCACAAGGTGGCAGCATGGGCACTCAATCTTTTCATGCATGTGTGACGTCAGAGTGTGTAATGATGTTGTAATGCTCATGAAACCACTTTAAGGAATTTGTAATTAATGTATTTGGGGATTGCATATTAAAGAGCTATGTATGTGTGTAATATTTAAGTCTAGTCGCTCCTACCACTCAGTCTATTTCGAAATTCACTGTGCGCGCGTAACCTTGTATTTTCCCATTATTATGCGTAATGTGGCCACCCTGTCTCTTGAACAGCTGTTACGAACAGCTGCTGGTTTCAAGCAGGTTTTTCTTGTGCCTCTCTTTTTCGTCTTGGCATGTAGCACCTTTTTGATGGACGGGCGCGACGGCTGCTGTCGTTGGAATTAACTAAATCATAATCATCATCTATCAGCCGAACAAGTGAGATCATCTGCCCATTGTTGGCCATGAAATGCAGCCGCTGATGTGAAATGTGAAGAGCTGCAAGTAGAAATCTCAGTCAACGAAACGAATGTACTTAAAATAGTCTTGTAAGGATGCTGACACTGCTAATACTCTTCAATGCGCTCCAGCTGAGCCAGATACTTGCCCAAAGCAATTCGGATGTGGTGAAGCTGCCCAATTTGCCATCCGATCATCTCATACGCTACCTCAACACCTTTCCCAAGCTCAAAAAACAAGTGGAAGAAATTCGCGTGGAGTCACGCGCCTGCTGGGGACATGAGCGGAATTGCAGCGCCGAGGCGCGCTTCCAGACGCCTCACTGTCCCGGTGAACATACCGGCTGGGTGCAGAGCAAGGAGGCACAGGTGCAGACCTTCTACTACCAAGCGGACTTCGGCTTCATCCAGCAGCAACTGTCGGAGCTGACGCCTCAATGCATGCCCAAGTATCTGTCGGACTCCTCGCTGGAGTGCACGCGCTACCTCCGCTTCTGTCGTGGTCGCAACTTACTCATCGATCTCCGCGATCTGCCGCAGCGCAAGGAGCGCATCCGATACCACATGGACGTGCTGAAGCCTGGCCAGATTTTGGGCCACTGCGAGCTGAATCGCACGCGTCTCCAAGGCGAAATGGAACACATAGGCTCGGCGCTGCAGTCGTGGGCGCCGGAGCTGCGCTACTTCGATGTTCTGCCCCAGCCGGTGCTGGAGAGCGGAGCCTGCGACCTGGTCGTCAACACGCCCACCTTCATCATGAAGATCGACGCCACCTACAACATGTATCACCATTTCTGCGACTTCTTCAATCTGTATGCCTCGCTCTTTGTCAACCAGTCCCATCCGGCTGCATTCAACACAGATGTGCAGATTCTCATATGGGAAACATATCCGTATGATTCACCTTTCCGGGACACGTTCAAGGCTTTCACCCAGCGCCCCATTTGGACGCTGAACGAGGTGCAGGGCAAACGGATTTGCTTCCGCAATGTTGTTTTGCCGCTGCTGCCGCGCATGATCTTTGGCCTGTTCTATAATACGCCCATTGTGAGTAGTTAGTGGTGCAGTAAAATCTTATCTTAATCCTTATCTCTTATCTTGCTCCACAGATTCAGGGTTGCTCCAACAGCGGACTCTTTCGCGCTTTCTCTGAGTTCATTTTGCATCGTCTGCAGATTCCCTACAGGCCGCCGCCTGTAAGGAAGCTGCGCATCACTTATCTATCTCGTCGCACAAAGTACAGGCAGGTGCTGAATGAGCAGGAGTTGCTTGCCAGGCTTGAAGCCAATGAGGATTACGAAGTACAGCGCGTCTCTTACGAACGGTAAATTATAGATATACTCTTTCAGTTCTATGTATCATTTAACTATATTCGTACAGCCTCTCCTTTGTTGACCAATTGGAGATTACAAGAAATTCGGACATGCTCATTGGCATGCATGGCGCTGGGCTGACGCATTTGCTTTTTCTGCCCAATTGGGCTTGTCTGTTCGAGCTGTACAACTGCGAGGATCCCAACTGCTACAAGGATCTGGCACGCTTGCGTGGCGTACACTATGTCACCTGGGAGCATCGCGATCTGGTTTATCCACAGGACGAGGGTCATCATCCGGATGGCGGTGCTCATGCCAAATTCACCAATTATCGCTTTGACGCGGATGAGTTTGAGCGCCTGGTGGCTCAAGCAGCCACGGCGGTGCGTGCCCATAAGGATTACCAGCAGGCAACAGCAGCACTAGCACAGCATGATGAGCTTTAGTTTAATCTTAACGCCTTGTGATTTGTTTGACCAATGCATTTATTTGTTTGTAAAAGTAAACTGACTATCGATATGTCACATTTGAAATTCGATAACATTTCGATTGTGGCGGCAGTTTTTATATGTCATCTGATGAGGGCTGCAACGACTGCAAATCACAAATATCTGTTTTTGCGAACAATGCGATTAATAAGTTTAGTTTTAAATGAGAATATATAATTGATACAACATGAATATCGATTGTCTTTAATTAAGAAATTTTATAATAGAAAATTAATTGTTTGGAAATTATAGTTCTTTGGTAAATTCGCGCCCCTGTGGCAACGTCTGCAAATCATCTGTGTTTTGTTTATACGCGTTTGCAAAAACAATTGGAAGTTGATGTAAACTATCTTAAAGACCGGCTACTTACACTATATTTGGCTTATTATGGATCATCAGGAAGCCACAATCGATCACTACGATGCCTGTGTTACAGCAGATAAATGTCTGCTATCAGCGCCGCTTCACATCTTCCAAAGCTACATGGAGCAAGCTGTCTGCAGTTCGCTGGATATTGAAACGGTGCGAAAGGGCCCATCCTACTGTCCCTGGGCTATTCTACGAGCCAGTTTAAGTGTTCTGCCGATAATATTGCCTACGTTGCTGGGTCTCACATTATCGCAACTGCTATGTCAACACTTGTCACAGCGGTCTCTGCGCCGTTTCCTTCTGGAATTCCTTCTGATTACCCTGCCCACCGTCTGCAGCAATACAGTGGCCAATTCCTATAATAACCACTACTGCATAGTGGTTGCAACATTAATCACCCTGCTGCTCTTGCGCTGTGGAGCTTGGCGAGGAGCTGCAGCCAAACACTGCTACGAGGTTGGAAAGAAGCCAGCGGCGATAACCCTGCTGCGGGCAACGTCTTACATCTGCACTGGCTGCGCCATCTTGGCTGTAGACTTCAAAGCCTTTCCCATTGAGTGGCGCAAGAGTCGTGAGTATGGCGCCTCCCTAATGGACGTCGGGATAGGCATGTTCGTCATGTCGATGGGCGTGGTCTCGCAGCGTGCCCACAACTGGGCTGACATGCGGCGCGTGCTGAAGGTTGTGTTGCCCCTGTTGATGCTTGGCTTGGCACGCACTGTGGTCATCACGCTGATCAGCTACCACCAGGACGAGCATGAGTACGGCACACATTTGAATGCCTTCTTTACGCTGGGCCTCACCAAGCTGCTGGCCAGCCTCTGCAGTCTGCTCGCACGCTCCGACAAGCAGCTGTTGCCACTGTCACTGGGTGAGTCGTCGCTTAGCTAGAAGCTCTGACTAAACTAATCGATATCATTTACAGCCATTCTTATGCTCCACGAGCTGTTCTTGCAGCAGGGGCTCGCAGCGTATGTCATGTCATCAGCCAACCGGAGTAGTTTCCTAAGCGCAAATCGCGAGGGTCTAAGCGCATTGCCTGGCTGCATCTCGCTCTATCTGCTCAGCGTCTGGGGCGGCAGGTGGTACAAGGCCATGGATAAGCTTAGCTACGAGCAGTTCCTAACCAAGCTGCGCAAAATCCTGCTGGTAACAGCTGTGACCTGGCTGTTAGCCTTCGCCTGCGTCTTTCTCTTCGGCATAGCACGTGTCACCTTCAACGCGGGCTATGTCTTCTGGCTGTTCGGCATTGGCACGCTGCTGCTGCTGCTCTGCTCGTTTCTGTTCGAGTTGTGCTTGATGGCGCCGACGGAGAAGCTGACGCCCTTGCCCGCCCTTGTGGAGACCATCAATATGAATGGCCTCACATATTTTATGCTCTGCAACTTCCTGACGGGCCTCGTCAACCTAACGCTGAATCCGGCCAAGCGCAGCAGCGGCGAGTGTGTGGCCATCCTAATGCTCTACATGCTGGCCAGCACGGGCATGGTCTATGTGCTGTTTCGCAAGGGCATTCGCATTGCCTAAGCTGTCGTGATAACTACCTGCATATGACGATAATGAAGTTCTCTTTATTTTTTAAGTATTTACTAAGCACCAAATTCAATTACGTATTATACATTTATAAAAATTGTTATAGCTAAATTGCAAGTTTGTTTTTGTTGTATTGTAACATAAAATAAGTAAAAGTGTTTTCGTTGGGGCTGCTCGACGAGAAGATACCTCGTACTCGGCGTGGTACTCTTGCTTTACTTATATACTGGCTTTCTAATGTATTTGGAATATTTGAATTTAAAAATTGTTTAATTTTTATATTAAGTCCATCTTAATATTAAATACATATTTTGAAATATTATAATACATAAATAAATATAACCATTCACAATTTACTTTATATATTTTAAATATCCACTCGAACTTCCACTAAAATATTTATAAACACATATTTTTATAAAAAATTACCCGTGTATAACGGTAAAATATGCAAAGTCTATTTGCCACACAGAAATTTCGAATATCCAATGCAGAAGCATGTAGCTCTAGCAATTCGACAGCGACTCGAAGGGCATGACCTGTCCGTTGGGCGTGACCAGAAAGAGTATGACTGGTTCCTTGTCGCCCGACATGCTGCATGAGTCCGGCTCCTTGGCGGAGTTCTTGTACACCTCGTAGATGTGACAGCCGTTCTCGGAGCGCACCAGACGCGTCCACAGCCACTTCTTGCCCAGGTGCTGCAGATTGGCGGACAGCTTGGACTTGAGCCGAGTATAGGCGATCGAGGCCTTTGACAGCGACAGCTTCATGCGATCCGATAGGCTGATGGAGTCGGCACTCCGCCGACGATTATCGCCAGCGGGATGTGCAAAGTCGACGTGCGGCGTGCGCGGCCCGGCAGAGCAGCCAGTGGATTGGCCCACAGAGCTCTTAGACTTCAGGCTGGACGACTTGGACTTGCAGTTGCCCGTCAACTTGGCGCCGGCAAGCTTGCTCAAGCTGCTGGATGTGCTGCACTTGGACATTTGGCCCGAGGTGCAGGTGACCGAGGTGCAGCTACTCTTGGCGCAAACAGGCGGCGGAGATCTGCATGGAGGGTTGCCTGCGGGCGGAGGAGTGTAGGAAGTGAAGCCTATTAGAGCAAGACTTTGTGATCAAGATTAAAGGAGGGTTCACTGTATTACGGTATGTATAGCCATTAAAATATGCGAGGTCTGTTCAAAAAGTATCGCTACGGCTGAAGACGAATGAGCGTGACGGAGAAGGAGGAGGAGAACAAATATAACTGTTGTTTAGAAAGATAAAAATAAATGATTTTTCTTAAAAGCCTCGAAGATTCGCATCGCTCTATAATATCTAAATGGAGATTACTTCATAATCTCTACAAGAGATATGGAATATTCGATATTTTTTGAACAGACCTCGCAGAGCCAAGGTCTGGCCCACGCCTAATACCCAGCAAATGGCAGATTTTGGTGGCGCCAAAGAAGTAGAGTATGCGATCCAATATCGTCATGATGATCTCATCCGGGTATGGAGTGAGTGCATTCGTGAGCGAGCACTGACCCACGCGCCGGCCACAGCAGCTGACGTCGAGCGGCGCAGCTCCGCACGTTCGGCAGGGGTCCTTCCGCACCTGGCAGCAGCAGCAGCTCATCTCTTCCTTGGTTCGATTGCAGCTCAGTTCTAGAAAATGGAATTTTATTCAAAACTTGTCTGAAATGTGTATTTGAGTGTTACTACGTAGACTATTATATATAAACCCTGTATATATATATATATATATATATTTATCGGTGTGGCATACGTATTCCTCGGTCCGTTAATGTCCACTTTGCCACTCGCGTTGGCAGATGTCAGAGGTGCGATATCCGGCTTAGCGCGGCTGCCTCTTGCCTGGGCGTCGCAAAAGATAAGATTTCTATTAAGGAAATGACAGAAATTGCGCGCATTGTGTCCACGGGCGATGCTGACGATGATGCTGTGGATGGCGAAGAAGAAGAAGACGACGAAGCAGAAGAAGGTCCTTTCTTGCCCGATGGAGCAGGGCAGGATATTTAATTTAATGACGCAAACAAAGCAACAGTCGAGCATAGGCAGGTCAAAGGCGAGCCAAGTCGAGTGGGGCTGGGTGAATGGGGCGTAAATGACCAGCGAATGGGCTGCGTAGAGGGTATATGCTGGGTATATTGACTAAGGCGGCGAGTTGAACGCAGCCTTGGTTGAGTAAAGAAATGAGAGATATTAGAGAAAATAGAAAAATAAATAAATAAAAAGAAAATATTGTATTTAATATTATTTTTAAATATATATGTAAGTCATAAAGACAATAAATATGTATAAGCGACTATTGGGAATATTTTCCATAATATTTAAAAATATATACTTAAAATATATAATTAATTTTTTTTTTTATCGTATATTCTTTAGAATTCTATAAAATTTCATATCAAATGAAAAGTTCTTGGAATTTTCGTATTATTTTTTGTATATACATATATATTTTTGTATACTTAAAATAAATTCTGAATTATTTTTAACATTTTAATATTTTTTAAATTAATAGAACTTATAGAATATAGAATAGAATTTGAAACTATTTTTAAATTTTAACATATGTATTTTCAAATTTTAATTTTTGCTACTAACCTTAACCACACACCTAAGCAAGAGCATTTGAAATTCGTTGTTTTTCCTAGTCTATCCAATCTATGATGATTTCTTTTTCCTTCTTCTCGATTGTTCGTGCAATCTAATTACAGCAACAGTTTCCGCTGCTGGGATGCGCCTTTGGCTGCCAGCTTCGGCTCAACTTGATGCGCTTTTAATGTGATATCCTTCGCACAGGACGTAGGTCGCAGGACGCAGGACGTGAAGCATTTGCTAGCTGTACCTTATCTGATTTTGGCCACACAAATGCAATTTCCTGCAATCGCAACCCTTTTAGCTACACCACATAGAGTTAATAGTTGGGAGTCAACCAAATCCATCAAGAGAGGGGAGTGTGAGAGGAAGGGGGCGGGGCGTGTGCCGTGTAATTGATGTTGCATGTGACTGAAGGTGGGGCAAAGGGGGCGCGCGCCAGCTACACCTGTGCCCAACGCTGCTAAGGGGCGTTGCCTTTGTCATACGCTTTTTGATGACAGATTATTTTCATTAGCCAAAAAAAAAAAAAAAAAAAAAATAAAAATAAAAAAGACGACGACGTTGTCCATTTGCCTCGCACGTGGCTCAGATGAAATAAAGGAATATAGGAAATATGCACGTACAAATTATGTGAAACGTTAATTATTACGTATTTTCAGGTTCTGTTAAACATACCAGCCAAATCATGTTGACAACAAATCGGAATGTTGCAGTGGGGTGTAACTGACTGCATAATACTTGTGCCAGGTTAAAGAACAGTTACATCCCTTATGGCATGATTCGTGAAGATGATTCCTGTTACCTAACTGCCGAATTCTCGATTCAATACTTTGCAGGTTATATTTTTATCTGATTGGCCCCGCCTTCAAGATTCGTATATATAGATAATTATCGTTAAATCAATGGACCAACTCAACTATCCAATGCTAGCTTGAAAATACATAGTTTTACCCATTGCATCAAGCCAATATACTCCTCTTCCGACAGCGTGAACGAGTATAGAGAGAAGAAGAAGCATCTATCTCCTCTACCAGCTGCCAATTTGCTGACTTTGCAGTACACAACATATACATATATACATATGTATGTATATATAGACTGCAAATCGGATTTCATTCAGATTGCTTTTACAAAAAAAAAAAAAAGAAAGAAAAACTCGGCAAATAAATAGAAATGTGTGTATGCATATGCATAAATAAAGCCCATATGTGTGTGTGTGTGTGTGTGTATGGTTGGGCATCTCAATCACTGTGAAGAGGCTTAGTGCAGACCCTGGGGAAATCGCTTAAGCCGTTCATAATGAGCATTATGACTGGCTGCTCCCTCTGCCTGCCTCCTCTGCCAGCCCCCTCTGCCTATCCTACCCGACATGAAGTCTTTTTTCCGCTCTCTCATTTGGCTTGGCCAGCCAACCAAATGGCATTGAAATTTGCAAAAATAACAAACAGCGCTGAGAAAACCAGGCAGCAAATGGCAAAGGATATTTTAAAGGTTTGCAATTTGGAATGATAATAAATTGTTTGCATTGACATATTAATTGTCTTCTCATTTCCTCATTGATTTCAAAGAGCTGCAAATGCTTTGGAGCTTCTGCTTCTATTTCATAGTCGGCTGGACTTTTCTTATCATTATTTTATGTATATATATTTCTGTTCTTATTTTATTTATATATTGGCTGTTTTCACTTGATTTAATTTTGCTTTTATTTGTTTTTATTTAACTTTTTTCTATTTAGATAATGATTTCTTTTATTTATTTATCTATTTGTTTTGTTATATTTGCTTTGCTTGACTTTATTATTTAACTTAAGGTGCTTTTCTTAGAATGCCGATCGATCTCAACTTGCTTTGTTGATCTGCAGAGCCCATAAAGTATATACATACATTAATTCTTGATCATCGCGACGAGCTGAAACGATTTAGTCCTGTCTGTATGTCTGCCCGCCTGTCCTTATGTTTGAAGATATAAGAGCTGGAGAGATTGTAAAGTTTGTGTGGTAAGTTCGCGTTTGCTTTAAAAATCGATTACCCCGATCAAAAATCTTATCTTATATCAGCTATGAAATTATTTCCCCTACATCATCAAAAAGCTAGAGTCTGTTTATTTTATGGAATCTCGATTTTTGTTAAGTTTTGCTAGTACCCAGCACTGCATCCCAAGCGTGCTTATGCGTGCAAATGAGTTTTCGTATGTAAGCAGAAAAGCGTCTTAGAATTATGGAAATATCAGTTCCTCGAAGGGTTCGGGGAGGGATCTTGTAGTCGAGCAGTGTCGACTCGAGCTTTATTAATTGTTTTTCTTTGTGAACGAATATAAACACTAAAAGAATAACACTATATAGTCTTGTTTCCTTTGGCTCATCTCATTTAATACATTCCAGAAAACATATTCCCTGTATGTTTCTATAACTTACTTTGCATCCATTTCATGCTTGATTTTCTCTTGCAATTTATGTTCTTTTCTTTTGATGTATAGGGCTTCAGAAGCGCCTCAGAGGTGCAGGAGTGAGAGTTTCTGTCCACATGCTGCTTTAACAGCCGCCCAACAACGATTATGGCCATGAATTTGTTTGCTGGCAACAGCTTAGAGCAAACGGAGCCAGACTCATGCCACGATGCAAAACAAAATGCTTATC